TACTGACCTTAAAGAAAACCACCAGGACACCACACTCCCCGGGCTGCACGGCTTAGAACTGCAACTACTGTGCCCACTGCCTCTCTGACTGCATCTCTCTGAATGGAGCTTAATCTTCTTCTTATTATTATAAAGTGACAACATACAGTTAGGGCTGATGTTACAAGTTGAACTGTGTGCCCAGAAGATTCCTATCAAGTCCTAACCCCCAGCACCTCAGAAGGTGAGCTCATTTGGAGTTAGGCTCATTGCAGGTGTAACTGGTTAAGATGAGGTCACGGTGAAAACAGTATAGAAGTTTCTGAAAAGACAAGAGAGTTACCATGTGATCCAGCAACCCTACTCCTGGGTATATATCTGGAGAAAACTAATTCAAAAAGATTCATGCACCCTAATGTTCATGGCAGCACTATTTACAATAGTCAAGACATGGAAACAACCTAAATGTCCACTGACAGATGACTGGATAAAGAAGATGTGGTAGATTTATACAATGGAATATTACTCAGCCATAAAAAAGAATGAAATAATGCCATTTGCAGCAACATGGATGCACCTAGAGATAATCATACTGAGGCAAGTAAGTCAGACAGAAAAAAATCATATGATATCATTTAACAGTGGAATCTGAAAAATGAACTTATTTACAAACCAGAAATAGTCTCATAGACAGAAAACAAACTAATGGTTACCACAGTGGGGGCAGGGATAAATTAGGAGTTCAGGATTAGCAGATACTAACTACTATACAGAAAATAGGTAAACAACAAGGTCCTCCTGTACAGCTCAGGGAACTACACTCAATATCTTGTAACAACCTATAATGGAAAAGAATATGAAAGAGAATAGAATTACGTATATGTATAACTGAATCACTTTGCTGTACACCTGAAACATTGTAAATCAACTATACTTCAATAAAAAAGATTTAAAAAAAAAGTTGAGGCCATAGCAGAGTAGAATGGAGCCTAATCCAACAAGACTGACGTCCTTATAGGAAGGGGAAGTGGACGCAGAGATTGCCACTTTCACAGAGCGGACACTGCGTGAAGAGGAGGCTTCCCCTGCCACGAGCCAAGGGGCCACAGAAGGTGGGAGAGAGGCCTGGAGCAGACCCTCCCCCAGAGCCTGCGGAGGGAGCATGGCCCTGCCGACACCTTGATCTTGGATTTCTTTCTACAGGACATTACATTTCTGTGGTTTAAGCCACTCAGCTTGTAGCACGTTTATCACTGCAGCCCTACAGACACAGGCTGTGAGCTGAGAAGGATGCGGAGGGGAGGAGAGGGCACAAAAGGAAATAGGCAACAGGACTCATCCACGTCCCCACTGGCTGTTTTCTGCGGCATCTGAAAACCTCTGCCGAGGGAAGGCGAGGGGGCTGGGAACGGTGGACCACGAGGCGTGCGGACAGTCACTGCTCTCCCATTACTCACATGTTAAACATCGACGTGAACAAGTTACATGCTACTTAAAGGAGAGACCTCGAAGTCAGAAGTGACCCTGGTTATAAAATCAGAAACGGCCCTCGAGAGATTTGGGGGGAGGGTTTACATCTGCAACCTCAGGTGGCCGGCTGCTCTCACCTGTTCTGTCCCCACACGAAGTCTGCGCTCCTCTGCCACCTGCAAACTCGACATTAGCACCCTGCGCAGGTGACGAAGGAGCACAAAACATTAAGCAGGCTGGGGGAGGGGTCAGCTCAGCAGTACAGCACATGCTTAGCATGCACGAGGTCCTGGGCTCAATCTCCAGTACTTCCATTTAAAAAGAAAAAAATTAAAATTAAACAGACAAACCTAATTACCTTCCTCGCCAAAACCACCAAAATTAAGCAAGCTCTTCTGATTTCATTGTCTCTCTCGATGATTTGCTTGTCAGGTTCTGAACAGCCCCAGATGGCAAGATTTAAACAAAATCTAGGCTATTTAGCCTAGATTTATCCTTTATCCTCTCTTCCTAAAGTGACTGAAACCCCTTCAAGTCAGGATAGATTTTAACATTCCATCACCGCTACCCAGGCGTTGTTTTGGCCTGGAGGAGGAGTCCAGGAACAGAATTCAATAGGCCCACACTGGAAAAAGCTGGAAAAACGCCAAACCTCGCTGGCTCCAATCACACTTCAGTGACTAGAATGTGCCAAGGTGTTGAGACCTTTGCACACACTGACCCCTACGCCTGGAATGTCCTCCCTTCTGCTGGAGCCCCTCTCCCTTAACCCCCCCCAACCACCTGCACACATAGTTCAAACGTCAGTTTCCCAGAAACACCCTGTCGTCACTCTTTGATTTCTCCTTATCACACAACCCTGTACAGTTCCTTCACCGCCCTTATCTCAGCTGTAATTATGTACAGTTTGCTGTATATTATCTATTCCCTCCCTAATAAATGGTAAGCTCTCTGAATCAGAGATCAGACAAGTTTTATAAACTACTTTATACTCCAGGCCTGGCACACAGCAGGCCCACAAACATTTGTCTGGGTTGACCAATTGATGTATTAGTTAAAACAAACAAGTGAGGGCATGATGTGAGCAAGAGCCTCCAGGAACTCGGGGCCGGGGCCGGTGGAGGGGTGTCTTCCTGCTCAGAAGCTCCGGGCTCATCCCTGGAGTGTGGAGCCATCACTTCTCGTCCCTGCCGGCTGTGACAGGGGTGCTTTTAGGATATCCCTGTCTCCTGATCTCTCCAGGAAAGTTTCAAACTAAAAAAAAACCAACCCTCTGATCACGATCCGGCTTTACATATAGGCCCTTCCTGTGATAACGGCACCCCTGCTCACACGCACTTGGACTGCTGCTGAATACTTTTTCTCGGTGATTAATAAAGCAGCGTTGGGCTGTGATCTGGAATCCCCTCTAAAGTGACCTCGGGGAGAAATGTCAGGAAAATACGGCACAACCTCCAACAGCAGGATAGCTCTTTATGAATTAATAAACTAGCATTTAGTGGGGAGGGTATAGCTCAAGTGGTAGAGTGCATGCTTATTAGCATGTGCAAGGTCCTGGGTTCAATCCCCAGTACCTCCTCCAAATATAAATAAATAAATAAATCTAATTACCTCCCCCTCATGGAAACAAACAAAAAACTAGCATTCTATTAAAGAGAAAGACAAATACCATATGATATCACTTATATGTGGAATCTAAAAAGAAAAAGAGAGACAAACAAACTTACTTAGAAAACAGAAACAGACTCACAGATACGGAAAACAAACATATGGTTACCAAAGGGGATGGGAGAGAGGGATAAATTGGGAGTTTGGGATTTGCAGAGCCTAACTACCACATATAAAATAAACAACAAGGTCCTACTGTACAGCACAGGGAACTATATTCAATATCCTGTAGTAACCTATGATGAAAATGAATATGAAAAGGAATATATGTATGCATAACTGAATCACTTTACTGTACACCAGAAACTAACAACATTGTAAATCAACCATACTTCCATTTAAAAAAAACTGGCATTCTGACATTCAAAAAAAAGAAGCCCATGCATTTTATATTTACCAAAAAACAGGATTTATGGGCCGTAAGAATTAGATGGCTGAGGGTATTTCGGCAATACATATATAAGACTTTAAAATGTATGTACTACTTGATCCACAAATTCCAGGGATAGGAATCTATCCTAAGAAAATAATCCTGAACGCAGTTAGTCACAAGAATGTTTACCGTAGCACAGTAAGAGCTGGAAACTTAAATATCCAATAATACGGGGCTGAATGAATAACTGTGGTAACCCGTAGCAAGAAATTCTCTGTAGCTTTTCAAAATGTCTTATTGAAAGAAATGAGTGACACAGAAAAAAGGTTCAGCCTGTGCTAATGGCTAAAAAGGTGGGTTTATGAATCAATATTGCAAACATTAACTGTAGTTTTTGGATGGTGGGGTCATGCGTGATTTGTATCTTCTTATGTTTAACTGTATTTTATAAACTTCCTCTGAGAGTCATAAATGTACTGCGGAAAATGTCTATTTAGAAACAAATTTTCACCAGTCACAAAAGGACAAATACGGTACGACTCTACTTGGATAAGGCCCTAGAAGAATCAAACTGATAGCGACAGAAAGCAGAATGGTGGTTGCCAGGGGATGCGGCAGGGGAGAGTGGGGTGCTCTTGTTTAACAGGTACAGACTTCGGTTTTGCAAGATGAAAAGGGTTCCAGAGATGGTGGTGGTGAGGGCGGCACAACCGTGCGGATGTGCTCACTGCCACTTAGAAACGGCTAAGGTGGCAAATTACATGTTAAGTGTATTTCACCACCATTTAAAAAAAAACAACCCTCTAAATCATAAGTACAGCTGGGTCTAGAGGTGTCCGAGCTATGAGGATTTTCAAGAGACGGGGTACAGAAGCCTGAGTTTGACCTTGGACCACACGGCATCGAGCAAGGCAGTCTGAGGGTCCCCCAGGTGGGCTGGCTCCTGACTAAGACGCCGGCCATGGCGTTTCCTGTCTCTTCTTTCTCAAGTGTGGAGTTTCCTCCCTCTCCTGCAAGCGTCCCTCACTTTGATTCTGGATGAGTTGGCTGCTCCAGAGGTTTACCTCCCCACTGAGCTTGGCTACAAGGACTGCAGGGGCAGGTGAGCCCAGGAGAGGCTCCAGCCACATCCTGCAGAGGCTGTGGGGTTAGGGATGTGCCCCCAGTGTCCCCCAGCAATGGAGCCAGGCCAAGGGAGGAATCTGACCTCCAAGTCCAGAAAACTTGCCTCTCCACTGAAGGACGAAGAGGGGACTGGACTCACCAGGAGGACACGGGTGCTCTGTGGCTGAAATGGCGCCATGCCCGGTCCCTGGTGGTGGACCCGCGAACCCCAAGCTGGCAGAGCCTTGGGCTGCATGTGGCCCACAGCTGCATCTTAACAGCCACATGGGGTTGGACACTGAGTCTCAGTATCTAAAAAGACCACACACGCACACAGGAAAAGGAAGCTTCCCACACCTCCGGGGCCCACGGGGCCTGGGAAAGACAGGAGCCAGTGTTTTCCTACCTGCAGTAGGCACGCTGACGTTATACTGAGGTAAAATAAATAGGAAGGCAGTCTTGGCGGTGACCTGTGAAATAAAGGGAGAAAGTTCCAGGTTAGCTTCTTGGCCACATCGAAAGAAACAAGCAGAGCCTGCTACCAGCCCTGGGCCCCTGCCTTTCACATCTCAGACCCACAGGCCTCTCCAGTGATGGGTTTTACCTGAAGCGGAGTTAGCACCGTTTGTTTGGTTTGGTTTTTCCCATTTTTTTAAATGACATCCCTCCCAATACCTGCACTAAAAACAAACAGAACAACAGGAGGCCCTGGATGGCATCCAATCCTGCACCCACTGCAGATGGAACGCAACAAGGTGTGCTCGGCCGGCCGAGAGCTCACAGGCCGAAGGTACAGACCTGCCTGCCGTGCATTCATTCACTCGCTCATCCATTCAAGTATTCATCAAGCTAGGTCTAGGTACCCAGCACTGGGGAAGACAGAAAAGAATGGAAGATGAGGCCCCAGCCTTCTGGGGGTTTCCAGAACCTGGGACCTGCCTGAGGTTTCCCCAGCCCTGCTGGCCAACCGCACGGTGGGCAGCAGCCCCAAAAGTCGAACCCCAAGCTTCAGAAACAGAGAATTCCAGCTGCTCATTTCACATCTGCCCGACCGTGAGGTGAGGGCAAGACACAACACCCTACTCTGCTGGTTCCTCTATTTCAGAAAGCTGCCTTGAAAGTCTTGATTGTGCTGTGAAAAAAACTGTGGTTGTCACCTGGTTATTAACGGCCAACTCAGTCCTGCAAATTAGCCGCAGGACAGAGACGGAACATGGGGATTCGAAGCTTGGACCCCAGCACCGAGTGCTCCGGCTCGGGCACTGCCTCTGTGCTTTGCTGGCCCTGCAACCATGAGCAGTGATCTGACATCTTGAGCCTCATGTCCCATGTCCCTAAAAGCCATAATAGCTCTGGTCCCCCAGCTGGTCTGGGTGGCGCTGGCCTGCTGTTCGCCTTGTTTAAAGCTCCCCAGATGTTTCCCCTGATGTGCAGCTGGGGCTGAGAAGCACCGCCAGACAGTTCTGGAGCAGGTGCAGGGGGCAAGTTGGGGGCAGCCCCCAGGGACCCCTCATCAGCAGAGTTACCGGTTCTCCTCTAAACAAAAAGGCATGAACGATGCACTGTGGGTGTGAGGGAAACACACGGGGCCACGGCAAATACAGCAGGGAAACGAGTGAATGACGTGTCCCAGCCCCTCCACGGTGGCCTCCTGATGCGCCCAGAGGGAGGCTGCTGTCCTGGGTCTACCCTGTCTGTTAGGGAGCCGAGCTCTCCCCGTGACAAGACCGTTCCTCTCCAGCGGGTGTCGTGTGCTCCTCGTGCAGCGATGCCCGAGCCTTCTCGTGTGTTCCTGCTGTTGTCTGGGACGTGGTCTGTCAGGCTTGCAGGAAAAAGTCCAATGACAGACAGAAAACAAACCCATGGTTGCCACAGGGGCAAGGGCTGGGAGGGGGATACATCAGAGGAGTTTGGGATTAGCAGATACAAACTACTATATATAAAATAGATAAACAAGGCCCTACTGTATAGCACGGGGAACTACATTCAATAGCTTACAATACCCTACAATGGAAAAGAACATGAAAAAGAATATACACACACACACACACACACACACACACACATATGTATAGCTGAATCACTATGCTGTACACCTAAAAGTAACACATTGTAAACCAACAATACTTCAAAAAAGAAAAAAAAAAGCCCAAGGAGACTAGTGTGAGAAGGTGCCCTGGAAACACAAAGTCCTGTCCAATGCACCCAAAACCTAACTGCTGTGCTCAAGACCTTTTTCAGGGGACTCCCAACCTCCCTGCAGCCCCATGGCTTGAATGGCATTAGAACAGACAGACCTTGTGCTGCCCACTACTTCATTCTGGGGGTGTCAGCCCCTCTCACTCTGTATCCTACTTCTGTAACTTCCCCCACCCAAAACCCCAAATCCTATAGACCAGCATCTCACTCGTCCTCCACAACCCAGCTTAACCGTAACCCTGAGTGCCAGCAGGCTGCGCCTTCCACTCCGAACCGCACTGTCTACTCCCACATTCTCCCCTCAGGGTCACTCCTTGAAGGTGGGCCTCGCACCCCGTTCAGGTAACTAATCTAGATGCAAAATCAAAAGCTGAGTCTGGGCTGGCCCTCCCTCACTCATATCTGCCCTTGTTCTCCAGTGGAGCCGCCCTAGCGCTGTTATCCAGCTGTCCTCTCTCACCCACTGTCACCCACCAGCCTTCCTCGACACCTGTCCAGCCGCTCACACCGCACCCACGTCCGGAAGCCCCAGCACCCGCACCCCAGCCTGATCTCTCCTCGCCTGAACTCCGCCAGCATTCGCCATCCTGGACCCACCTCCTAACTCCACACTGTGCGCCACGACTCCTTGGAAGACCAACCTTGTCTTCTGGGGCTGACATCCCCTTGGGGTAAGATGAGAGGAAGGTGGGGGAAATAGGAGAAAGGCAGGAGGGCAGAAGAAAATGTTTACCAAACGCTGTGCCCCGCTCGCTCAGGGTACAATCCTTCAGTTTCATTCTGTTTCATTCCCTCGTCTTTTAAGCTGGTGGGCTGGAGTGGACCCCCGTGAGGTTTGGGCTGACCAGTACCCCTTCCTGCCTTCTCAAGGGCACCAGGATTTCCTGAGGAGACACCTCTCCCCAGCCGTGTGTGGGGGGACCACTCTGGTGACCACTGTCCTCCTGGTAGGATGAAGAGGCCAGACCCTCTCCCAGCCCGTCAGACACCCTCTCCTGGGCTCTGAATCCTGGGCAGGAATGGAGAGAGAGAGCTGGTCAATGCCATGTGCCTACCGGACTCTTCTGCTGGGTTCCCGCAGCCCTGCCCCAGAGCACAGACCCTCATCAGCTGTGCGAACCCCCAGATGGCCTCCTGAAGGTGGCCAGAGTCCCTTCCTAAGATACATCAGAATCCCACACGTAGAGCACTGGAGTCCAGCCCCGGCTGCATAATGAAGTCCCTGGGGGAGCTTCTAGACTCTCAAGGCCTGGGCTGCCCCCAGCCAATTACCCCCGCCCTCCAGAGCACCAGGCTCCCCAGGGCCGCCCACACACAGCCCCTCCTGGGAGGCGGGGAGCTCTAAAAGCCAGACGTTCACCGTATGTTGTCGGCTTTCCTCCCTCTCCCCAGCCCGAGTCCTGTCTCTCTCCACAGGTTTGGGGCCAGTTCTCTGAGCTTTTCCTATGCACGTATCCACTTAGAATTTACTTCATTTTACTTTTGACATTATAACTTGGGACTGTGTTTATACCACTTGACACAAGGGATTAAAGAGTGAAAAAATTATAAAAGAGCTACAACTTACTAAATACTATTTAAATCATTTTTTTAAGCTCTGTTAATCAAATAGTTGTAGCAGGAACACACAGACCAAGGCACAAATCTATTCAGTGAAACTGCATTAGTGACATGGAAAACATGCAGCTCAACCTGTCGTTCACTAACATCCACGCAGAGGTAAGTGGCTGTAAATTAAAGCTTCCTTATCTCCACTAGAACTTCTCACTAGCATTTCCTACAGGGTTGCCCCTAATGTTTAGCACCGACAAACTCAGCCACTCAGGCTCCCATGAGAGTGGACACAGATGGATGGACCTTTTTCTTTAACATCTTTCTTTTTATCAAAAAAAAAGTTTAGAAAACAGCAGTTCATAAGGGCACAAACAAATCAACAGGGGGCATACTAGTGGAAGACGGACGAGACAAAACTAAAAATGACACTGGCTTCTTTAATTGCTTAAGAGCCCAACATGTAACAGGCAGAAAGTCTGTTTTAAACAGATTGAAAAGCTGTGTTTTTGTCTCAATTTGCCCCAAGTTCAGTATATACACACCCACAAAAATGGTGTGGGAAGGGACGCCATCCTACACAAGAAGCTGCATCCTGAATTGGGGGGACAGCTGTTGAAACAAGAGTTAAGACAATAGAGCAGGAGATTCTAAATGCTAAAAGCATAATCCCACTTTTTTCAGGGAAGGCAGACGTCTGGTGCACAGGCTGGACAGATGCTCTTGGCCTGGTCCACAGTATCCAGTCAATTCTTGTGACTCACAGTTGTCCTGCTCTGGGAAGTCACCGTTGAGTTCTAGTGACACCAGAGCACTGCTCCAAGGGGAATATGGAGTTCAGGTCCAATGGGCCTCTGGTGGTCACAATATTTCCATCAACCGATCCAGGTGTAACCTTAGTTTATGTGTGTTCTTGCTGAAAGACGCTGTATGAAACAGACACGGCTGACATGTGAACACTCGAGCTCAGGGCTGAAGGACACACCTATGTTCTCTGCCAGGCCAGTCACGGCCACCCTGCGCTCTGGGTCACGGCGCCCCAGCATCACGCATGAGGGCCAACTGATGCAGCCAAGTCACCAACAGAAAGCACAAAGGTGCATGAATGTGGCACTAAGCAGACAAGGCCACTTGCTCACGGCAGGAGCTGGAAGGAGGGGCAGAGTGCCTGTCACTGGTTCAGCTGGGGACACGCTCGTCAGGGGAGCCAAACGTCCCACTGCCCAGAGCACGTCCACAAACAACCGCAAAACAGCCAAGAGTTCGGGGTTCTGGGGCTGTGAGCAGCAGCAGTGCAGACCCGACACGCGGGAGGAGTGGGGTCATCTGTCTCGGGGCAAACCTGAACGAAGGTCAACAAGGGCTGGGGGCTTTTGTTTTGTAGCCTTTACTGGGGTATCATTTATGCACCATAAGGTTCACCCTTTGTAAGTACACACAGCTTTATGGGGTTTACCTTTCCTTGATGTTAAATTCCCCCTTTATTGCAATGAAAGTTCTAGGAAAGAGAGGATCTTACACATCTTGATTATCTTTGATCCACTGCCTGGAACAGTGCCTAGAACAGCCTGCATCCAGCAAGGGCTTGTTAAATGAATACACGAGGAAGTAGGGGAGCCCGTACTGTGCTGTTGCCTGGCCCTCAGCTCATCCTCTGCCCTCCCTGATCCCCTGGGCGTGTATTCCCTCTCCCCCTGGGGCCCATCCCAGTGCCGGGCACATCGCAGGTCCCTCATGAATGGCTACTTGATGAGCTAATACCGCAAGCAGCTATAAACCACAGATGAAGGTTTAACAAACGCTTTCGGAACATGATTCCAAGAGGACAGGATCTGGGACCCCGATGAAGGCAAAGATTCGAGATTCCAGTAGTTTTCCACCCCGACCCCCTGGTCGCAGCAGTAGGAACCAGTTCAAATCGTGCACTTTCCTTTGTAGGCCGGCACGCCTGCTCCCAAGTTACCACATCTCAGCAAGAATATGTCTGTTCCCATTTTACAGACGAAGAAACTAAGCTTGGGGCACAGAGAGGCCCCTACCAGGACCTCACAAATGTATTCAATTTGATTCTTTAACAACGTGTTCCAAGAAACAAATGTAAGACACAGTACGGCACATAAAACAGAATGGTGACATAAAATAGAAGCAGGAGAGGACCAAAAAATACATACTGAAGGCAAAGAGGAGCAGCAGGGAATGAGGCTGATTCACAAAAATGCATTCTAGGAAGGCGGACTCATTGGCTAACGGCAGCCAGAAACTCGGCCTGAATTTTTCCGGAGCCATCAGAAGAAGGAAAGTGTGATGGGCTCCTGGATTCACCTCATCCATTTAAAAAAAAAAAAAGACTGCCCCCCTCACCCCTAAAAAGCAACTCTGCCTCTCCAGCACGAAAACCGACTCTCTGTGCTTGACAAGGCCCTCTGGCACCCCCAAACTTCACTCCATGCTCCCCCAACCTCCAACCGGGGGCCAAACAGCCACCAAGCCCCATCTGCCAGCGCAGGTTGGGTTCGTGCAGCTCAGAGGGCTGAGGAATGGGAGCCTATAAAAAATGTCATTCCAATGACTTCCCATCCCTCTAAGGCTGTTTATAGGAAACACGATTGAGTTTAATAGCAGTTTAAAGGCCAGACTCAGTGGGTGAAAGGTTAAAAGTGAAAACACGCTAATATGCTAATGCAAAGGTGAACACTCAATTATGTGGGAGGGGCCACCCCACCACACACACACACACAGAGGAAGCCTTGCTCAACTTTAAACTCAAACAGAGCACCAAGCACAAAGGCTGTGACACTGAACACGCTCCTGTAGCCACAACAAAACCAAAACCATTCCACATGCTGTGTCCTATTAGGGACACACGAAACTGAGCTCTCGGCTGCAACCAGACCAAGGATGTCAGTAAAACAGCTGCTTCCAGCAAAGCGTAATGGACTGGGTGGGATTCCAGCCCCCGTTCCCTGGGGGGCAGCTGGGTGACCTCAGCCCAGGAATCACACGTCTCTGGATGCCAGTCTCCTCATCCATCATCGACAACAATAATGGTGGCAGATGTCACCAAGTGCTTACTCAGCGCCAGGCACGATTCTCAGCGCTTCACAGAAATTATTTCCTGTAATCCCCACACAACCCTACGAGGCAGACACTAGTAACACCCCCACTTTATAGACAGGCATGAGGAGGATCAGGCCAACTGAGGTGGCCCTCAGAATGGATGTCCTTAAAGATCCTCTCCACCCTCAACTCCAAAGGGCTGGTTCCAGATTTCCTGGTTCCACTTACGTCAACGCCAAAAACAGAGCCTCACGCTGACAACTTGCTGAGAGGTCTTCCCAAAAGTTTAAAATCTGTTACTGCTTCTGCATCTCGTGAAGACGCAGTCTGGGTGTCATCTGTATCTGACCGAGCAAGAGAGCCAGGCCTCCCAAGTCAATCCTGCTAGCCCCAGACACCGGGCAAACCTTGGCTCCCCAGGACCCCCTCTGCTCTCTGTTCACTGTCCGCTCACACCTGGGCACCAAAGGTGAGAGTGAGGAGAGGCAATGAGAGCAGATGTGATGATACCACGTCTTTCCCTGTGGACAGCATTCAACACTTTGGTTGGGTTTATTCTGTTTATTTCTTGGCCCTCAGAAGGGGCTGCATTGGAAGATGGGCCACCAAGGACAAGGGAGGGGAGGGGGGCCCATGTTCACAGAGCAGCCCTGCTCCAAACTGCTCTGTGCCATCAACACCGCCTCGCCCACCTCGGGGCTGAAACATGGAGTCCACGCGGCTGACCCGCAGCCCCCACGTCTTCCTCTCAGGAGCGCAGGTAGGGCCAGGGGACCGTCCCCTCTCCCAGCCCTGCCTGCTCTATGAAGCCGAATGATCTCCACTCAGAATTTCCCAAAATTGATTTTGCATCTTTCTGCCAAGGCAGTGGATAGGAAAATTTCAGTCAGACAGGAAAACCTTTGAAAGTCACGCCCAATTGGTGAGGAAGGTTTTTTTTTTTCTTTTTTTTTTTTTGAAATAAAAGAGTCTTTTAGG